GATTCTGTCCTAGGCACTTTACACACATTATCACATTTAATCCTCACCTCAGCCCAATCTGAGTTAGGGACTGTCAAGATCTTCATTTCACAGATGAGGAAACTGGGGCTGAGAGTGATTAAGTGACTTGCCCAAGGACACACAGCTGATAAATTAGTGGAACTGGGACATAACCCAGGTCTGTTTGATGCTAGAGTTCACTTTATTATCTTGCCCAAGGTCACATTAATAGCTATTAAATGAGGGAAACAGGGGCGCCTGGGTGGCTCAGTCAGTTAAGCATCTGCCTTGGGCTCAGGTCATGATCCTGGGGTACTGGGATAGAGCCCCCTGCATCACTGGGCTCCATAATCAGCAGGGAGCCTGCTTCTCCCACTCCCTCTGCCACTCCCCCTGCTTGTGCTCTCTTGCTCTCTCTCTGTCAAATAAAGAAATAAAATCTTAAAAAAAAAACAAAAACAAAAAACAAGGGAAGCAGGATTAGAATCCAAGCCGGCTCTCAAATCCTCAGGAGAGCAAGTCCTGGTCTGGAAGGCAAGGAAGCCTGACCTAAGGAGTCCCTCTGCAGAGCCCACTCTCCTGGACAGCTCTGCCTTGCCATCCCCCCGCCGACCTCTGCTTTGCTCAGGACCCTGATCACATTCTGTTTTCTGCTGTAATTTCCTTCAGGGCTAAGACTGAACCTTCTGTCACTTTTTTTTTTTTTTTTTTTTTTTTTTTTTTTTTTAATCTCAGTCTGCTGCAGAGAGAAGGATACAAGCTTTGGAACCAGACAACAATGCTTCGAATACCAATGCTGCTTACTCAGTGAATGAACCTCTCTGGACTTCAGTTTCCTCATTTGTAAAAGGGAGACAATTCTTACCTTGCACTGTTGTGAAACTTTGAGTGAATGCTCATGGAGTACATAGCACAGTGCCTGGCACATAGCAGGTACTCTCTGAAGGCTGCTTCACCATCGTCATCCTCTCTCACAGACCCTAGCTCAGGGCTAGGTCATCGCTTGCTTGATTTAATTCATCTTTGATTTGCCCACAGCACCTAGCATGGTGCCTTACATAGAGAAGATGTTCCTGTGCGAGGCTGGTTGAGAGAGCTCTATAGATTAGTTCTGTTGCCCAAGGGTGAAAGATAGAGATAGAGTTAGGGGGTGAGAGACCTCCCCCTATCGAGTCTCTAAGCTGATCTCAGAACTTCCCATAGCCCTGGTCTCCGCACAGGTCAAACTCAGTGACAGCTTCTCCTAGAGGGCTCACAGAATGGGAGTTTGCAACATCAGAGGTTTCTAATGTAATCAGATGGATAATGAAAAGGTTCTTCTTCCCCAAGCCTCGAGTGAGTCAGAGCTCTATGCTTGGCTTTGCCCCAGGGAGTACCGAGAAAATGAAATATCGTCTGTATCCTCATGACACCTAAACAAATGGTCAATTCCATGGGTCAAATATCAGCCAGAGGGGTTAAGAAGCATATCCAGTGAAGGGAAGGGAGGAGCAGCAAGGAAAGGACCATTAGCAAAGGTTGCTTAGTGGGGTCCTGGTACATGGCTGCTATTAAGGCTAATACCTGTTTGCCTTATGGTGGGATGTTTGTTTTGCCTTTGTGAAAGATACCAGTAAATGACAATATATCTGAAATCTACATGGATTTTGAACCT